TAATTAAATTACTATTATTATGGTAATAATAATATTAATAATAAAAATAATAATAATGACATTTATTGTTATTTTATTTTATTTTTATATTTGCATCCAACAGCTGGGAGCCCGTAACTTACAGAATGGAAACAAAAAACAGTCAAGATAAGGAAAACGACAAATACAAAACAATCAAATGCTTTTAACATTATTAATGTCAAAATATTTAAAGGCACCACGATGGCGTGCATTTCAATACTTGGAGTATGTATTATAATTTCTTTACAAGATACATCATTTAACTTTACGTTTCAAATTTTGAAATCAAAAGAACCAAAATAACTATAAATAGGCAGATCTTAACGATAAAATAATTATATAACTTCAGTTAACATAACGATGAAACTATATTTTGAAGCATCTACTTCATTCTAATTATTATCATTTTAAATATTTTTATTACTAAAATGTTTATACAAACCAGTTATATATTGTTGTCCTAGGACTTACCAAATCTAGGAAGAGAGGAACCCATGACATGATCTACTTCTCGGTGTTGTCCATTAGTATACATTTTAAAATACACTGCAAAAGGTAGACATTCAGGTAGGCCCTGCTTTTAAACACGTATCGGACATGACAGATAGTGACTATTTTATGTTGGTATATTGAGGAATATCATTAATAACTTCGTCAGATTTCTGTCCCATACTTTTCAAAGGGATTTCATAAGGCTCCTTTTTGTTTTTGGTAACTCCAATCTTTTCTTCTGCATGAGTTACCTCGTGTCCACTGGTCTGTTGAATTGTACAATCATACGTGTCTTGAGTCTTTGTTCGGATGACCTCATATTGATCCTCATGCTGTATGGCGATGGTGGTATAGTTATTCGGTTGTTCAGTTGCTTCTTCAACTACTCGGGTTTTTGTTGCCAGATTATCATCCTGGACTTCACATTTATGTGTATTATTCCCATTTGAGTGGTTGCATCTGGAATAGTTTATCAGTTGTATTAGATGTATTTCTTTCAAATGATTTTTTTTAAAAGATTAATTGGTTGGTTGGTTGGTTGTCGGTCGATCATCGGTCGGTCGGTAGGTGATGCATAGATGAATAAAGGAATGAATAAGAAATGACAGGCGGAATGACGGACGGACGAACAAATAAATGAATGAACGAATGAATGTGAGTGAATATACAAAAGAACAAACGAATAAAATAGCCGAAAAATATTAAATAAGTGGAATGAATGTTAAATGAAATAGATATTCAAGCAAGTTCATATACACATAATATTAAAATTGGCAACCATATCATAAATATCAACAACTCCAGACACACAGACAATGCAACCTTTCTACATTGTGAGGAACTCTATAGTACTTAAATCTCTTCCCAACTCTCTCATGGACATTCATAACTTTTTCTTTGACCAGGATTTCTAAATTCTACATTTTACTGACCTTATATATTTATTAATTAGTGTATCTACATTGTTTAACTGTAACATAATACTTATTGTTGCTTTATTATTATACCGTTAAGTTTATATGAACTACCTGTTTTGTTTTTTTAATTTTTTATTTATTTTTTGTTGTTTTTTTCTTTATAAATAAGTGATCTTTAAAATAATTTCGGTAATTTTCCCTTTACATAAAATTATATATCAGTTATTACATACTAAGAGCAAGTTTGAATTTTTGAATTATGATAGGCTATATATGCTATTTACTGTATTGTATTTAAATGCTTTTTTATGTTTATATTTATTAATGGCTGAATCTCAATGAGTTATAGTAAAATTTTGCTTAAGCTGCCCCTGACCAGAATTTTTGTTGTATTGTACCTTTTGTAAATGTGTATTGGTCTAATAAATAAATGAAATGAAATTTGAAATTAAAAGTATATTATTTCTTTTATTAGCTTATCATGAAGCATTATTGTCCTAACATTTGTACATTAAACATTGGAAAAGAAGAAAACATAAATAACTTAATAAATATTAAAATTATACAGAAAAAGCCCACAAAATCAAACAATTACCTACAATCGACCAAAAATAAATCGAACGAATAGATGAATAAAAAAAAATGTAGAGGAAAATGGAGAAACACCATGTTAAACGGCTAGATTTATAAATATAAGCGTTTCCTCTGAATAATAAATACCTAATTTTTACAATAATTAAAACAATACCTGTAGCATAGGCAAAACACCAAGGAATTCAGGAAGATGATGATGGAAAGAACAACCACTAATGCAATCATAAATCTGGGGATTGATGCTCCTATAAAACATAATATGTTATTAATAATGCTAATAAGAATAATAATAATAATAATTTACTATTATTACCATTATTATTATTATTATTATTATGGTAATCATGAAAATGATGATGGTAAGAACAATAGCATTAAAAATAATAATAGAGCTAAGAATGATAATCATCACAAATAATAGACGTCATTATTTAATCTTACATATATTTTTTTCTATCCCCAGCATTCATTAGTTGTTAAAATTTGTATGTTGTGCGGCTCGAGTGAAAAAACTTAACAAACTTGCTTATTATTGTCATAATAATGACACCGCGGAGTATAATTATGTCTTATGTCCAAACGCCTTCTCTAAG